AACAGCTGATCCACAGACACCAACAGCTGATCCACAGACACCAACAGCTGATCCACAGACACCAACAGCTGATCCACAGACTCAAACAGCTGATCCACAGACTCAAACAGCTGATCCACAGACTCAAACAGATGATCCACAGACACCAACAGCTGATCCACAGACACCAACAGCTGATCCACAGACACAAACAGCTGATCCACAGACACAAACAGCTGATCCACAGACACCAACAGCTGATCCACAGACACAAACAGCTGATCCACAGACTCAAACAGCTGATCCACAGACACAACGGCTGCTGACTTGTTTTTGCTTCCAACCGTCTGCTGGCTCATCTGAAGCCAAATGCTCCAGACCAAATGTCAGACAAACCTGTTTTTATTGTGTCTCTGTAATCAGCTGAGAGATTAACGGGTTTCAGAACCCAAACAGCAGGCTGAATCAGATGTCAACAGGGAGGGTTCTTGGTAAAAAAAAAAAAGTTTTCATAAGGATCGAAGCTGATCTGTTGACATTTCTTCTTCAGGAAAGTTCCAACCGTCTCCCTCTGAGCTGCTGGATCGAGGCGGTCCACCAGCTGGTCTGGACTCGTATCTCAACAAGGCCAACTCCTGGCTGTCAGGGAAGAAGGACGCAGCGGAACGTCTCCTTAAAACCACCTCAAAAACTGACGTCAAAGGCTTCTTTGGAGGTTTGGAGAGCAAGCTGAGAAGCTCTATGGCTCCCAGGTCTGAGTGAGCAAAAGCTTATTTTAAACTTTATTTTATCTTTTTTAAACATCCTGACTCAAACTCTTGTTTCTAATACAGAGAAGGCCCAGCTGAGACAAAGCCCAAATCACCAGGTACACATTTATGACTCTTTTATTATCGGTTGTCATTTGTAAAATTAACTTTTATCATGTTTTTATTTTTCACAGTGTTAGAGGCTCCAGAAGAAAAGAAAGGAGACAAGGTGTACCTGTACACTCACCTGAAGCAGCAGCCCATCTGGTAAAAATGGAATAAAAATTAAAATATGCGTTCAAATATTTGTTGTTTCATCAGACAAGGTTTAAATTCAAGGTAAAGAACAGGTTTAAGATGATTTAAAATAAACCAGACAAACTGTAAAACTTGGTGAGTTCTGAACAGCTGCTGAAATAAACGCAACAAGCTGAAACGGAACTAAAAGGTCAAAAGAGTGAAATGCTAGCTTAAAGTTAAAAGCAGAAAAAATAAAAAAATGAAACCAGCAAAGCATTAGCAAGAAAAGCAAAACTTTTTTTTAAAGTAGCCAAACACTAGTTAAATTTTGTAAAACTAGCTAAAATGAGCATAAACTACATAATTGTTATAAGTTGTTAATGTTAAAAATAACAAAACCTAAAAGTAGCAAAAGGCTAGCTAAATGTAACAGAATGTTAGCTTTTAACTTAGTATTAGTAGAATTAGCATCAGCAGCAGTGGCAAAAACAGTAGTAGAATTGCATTAGTAGTACCAGCATTAGCGGTAGTAGTCCTAGCATTAATGTTAGTAGCAATACAGTAGTAGAATTTGTATCGTCACACTAAATATTATCAAAATTAGCATTAGCAGTGGTAGCAGTAGCAGCATTAGCAGTAGTAGCATTAGCGGTAGCAACATTAGCAGTAGTAGCATTAGCAGTAGCAGCATTAACAATGTAGCATTAGCAGTAGTAGCATTAACGGTAGCAACATTAGCAGTAGTAGCATTAACAGTGGTAGCAGTAGCAGCATTAGCACTGGTAGCATTAGTATTGCATTAGCAGTGGTAGCATTAACGGTAGCAACATTAGCAGTAGCAGCATTAGCACTGGTAGCGTTAGTATTGCATTAGCAGTGGTAGCATTAACGGTAGCAACATTAGCAGTAGCAGCATTAGCACTGGTAGCATTAGTATTGCATTAGCAGTGGTAGCATTAGCGTTAGCAGCATTAACAATGGTAGCATTAGTGGAGGTAGCATTAGCAGAGGTTCATTGTAGCAGATTTGAGAACAGTGTTTTTGAAGGATTTGAAAAGATCTAAATGTTTTGTAGTAGTATTTTTTTTTATTGTTTTACTTTAGAAGTTATAGAAGCTAAAAGTCACAGCAGCAATCTCCTGAACGAGCTGAACGTTTTGATTTGTGAACGGCTGAAATAACAGTCTGTAGAAGTATTCACATATTAAAACGCACAGAAAATGAAAACACAGGTGAGAATAATAGAAAACGGCACTTTGCTTTGGAGCTTCGTTTCGTAACGACTGCAAAGACAAAATGTTTCTATGTGCAGTGAAACGACATATTTATGATTCTCTGTGTGAAAACGTTTTAACTTTATTTTCTGAGTGATGAAGCTCCAGAGCTGAACCCTTATTCTGAGTTTTTTAGGCTAGTTTTTAGTTCTCAGCTCCTTTGTTCCTCCATCTTTGTGAGGCTGACATGTTTCTCCTCGGTGACAGGCACACGTTGAGATTCTGGAATGCTGCGTTTTTCGACGCCGTCCACTGCGAGAGGAAGAAGCGATCTCCGACCACGAGGTGAGTCCAGATGGAGCGGGAAAAGGCCCGGAGAGTTTCTGCTGCTCCTTCCTGGTCACTGACTTTAACCGTCTGTTTCCTTGTGCCTTGCTGCGGGGCAGTGGAGCGCAGGAAGAAGAGAAAGGAGCGAGGTCTGTCCGTCCTTCAGTCAAACGATAAATAAATGACTAACAAGAAGTCAAAGATTCAAAAGGGTTGGAGAAGAAAGGCAGGAGTTCTTCAGACATATTCAGCTAAATGAATGTGTCGAAGCATTATTTCATTAGTTTGTGTTTAGCACCTTCAGTCATTTTTTTGTTCAGATTTTTTTCTCATGCTTGCAGTGAAACATCACACACCATCCATGATGCTGCCACCACCATGCTTTACTGTAGGTAACATGGTGCACTTCAGCTGCAGTTTTCTACGTTTTAATGTTAAAAACGTCCATCCAATATCTCTGCTGCTTAAATGTGGGTAAAGGTGGTACGGTAGCGCAGCTGGTAGAGCTGCCGCCTCTCAGCGAAAAGGTTGCCGGATCAAATCCTGATCTGAGACCTTCAGATGTCTGTAAGAGAGTTTCAGAGGTTTGCATGAGACCTTCAGAGGTTCGCGTGAGACCTTCAGAGGTCTGCATAAGACCTTCATGGGTCGACATGAAACCTTCAGAGGTCCACGTGAGACCTTCAGAGGTCTGCATAAGACCTTCATGGGTCAACATGAGATCTTCAAAGGGCCACAAGAAACCTTCTTGGGTTGACATGAAACCTTCAGAGGTCCACATGAGACCTTCAAAGTCCACACGGGACCTTCATGGGTTGACATGAAACCTTCAGAGGTCCACGTGAGACCTTCAGAGGTCTGCATAAGACCTTCATGGGTCAACATGAGATCTTCAGAGGGCCACAAGGAACCTTCTTGGGTTGACATGAAACCTTCAGAGGTCCACATGAGACCTTCAAAGTCCACACGGGACCTTCATGGGTCGACATGAAACCTTCAGAGGTCCACATGAGACCTTCAGAGGTCCACGTGAGACCTTCAGAGGTCCACGTGAGACCTTCAGAGGTCTACATGAAACCTTCAGAGGTCCATGTGAGACCTTCAGAGGTCCATGTGAGCCCTTCATGGGTCGACATGAAACCTTCAGAGGCCCACATGAGACCTTCAGATGCCCACGTGAGACCTTCAGAGCTGCACTTGAGACCTTCAGAGGCCCACATGAGACCTTCAGAGGTCCATGTGAGACCTTCATGGGTTGACATGAAACCTTCAGAGGTCCGCATGGGACCTTCATGGGTCGGCATGAGACCTTCAGAGGCCCACATGAGACCTTCAGAGGCCCGCATGAGACCTTCAGAGGTCTATGTGAGACCTTCATGGGTCAACATGAGACCTTCAGAGGCCCACATGAGACCTTCAGAGGTCTATGTGAGACCTTCATGGGTTGACATGAAACCTTCAGAGGTCCATGTGAGACCTTCATGGGTCGACATGAAATCTTCAGAGGCTCGCATGAGACCTTCAGAGGCCCACATGAGACCTTCATGGGTTGATATAAAACCTTCAGAGGCCCGCATGAGACCTTCAGAGGCCCACATGAGACCTTCATGGGTTGATATAAAACCTTCAGAGGTCCACAGTAAACTTGTAAAACATTAGAAAGTTTTTTTTCCTGAACTACCTGGTTCTAAGTTCTTCCTGACAGATCCCTTTGGTTTTGCTCTGCGTCTAAAAAAATTAACGAGCTTCTAGTTTTCTGGTTGACCACTTCTTAAACGTTTAATGTCACCGTGTTTATCACTGACGTCACGTGAAGCAAATGATTTTTCATGCGTTCATCTGTTGTTGCTGCTTCATGCTTCCTGTGTCAGTCTGATCAGCTCCTGATCCCGATCCTTCAGAGTCAGGTTTAGATCCAGGGTGTCTGAAGGTCTTGTCTGCATGTTCACACCACAAATCTGTCTCAACATGAGATGTTTCTCCATCTGCATGCTCACGTTGTCCTGCTTCTTCACTGTGTTCTGCTCGACCCGATGATCAGAGATTTGACAGATGTTCATAAATTACTGGATTAACCGTTTGATTCCAGTCAGAACTGAACCTGAGGACATCTGACGTACTTCAGTTTTCAGGTCAGATGAAGGAGCATCTTCTCAAACTGGACCTCACTGAGACCAGGCTGGTCCTGAACACACGTCTGTTTGTTCACGTTTCTGAGGGAACCCTCCAGCAGTTCTGGGTCCATCTCTGTTAGCTTGTATCGGACTCCATTTGTCCACCAACTCTTGGTTGAGAACATGATCCTCTCTCCACTCACATGGTCTAAAACCTGAACCAGATCCAAGTCCCTGATGCCTCCAAAGAGACTTTGGGGTCTGCGGCAGATATCGGTCATACAAGTTGAAGATCCTTCTAGATCACTGGGTTCCTCTAAGGAACCTTGTTTAGATCCTTCTTCCTTACAAGCACGGCGGTCTCAGTCCAGAATTAAAAGCTTCCAAAGTCTATGAGATCTGGACGTTCTCCTCTACCTCCAGAGAACACCTGAACCACCTCTGACTCTGGACTTGTGGACCCTTCTGTCCTCAGTTCTGTTCTTATAGTGTTCTCGAGGAACCGGGTCAGAATATTCTGCTCACGACAGTCTGAAGACAAACCTGTTGATCGTTCAGAGCAACATTGAGTCACTCCTTGTGTTTTGCTGCTGATGGATGGTGGAGGTTCCTCTGACACGACTCACAGTCTCAAAGCTCAGAATGGTCCAATGGTTCTGTTTGTGGTTCTGAGGCATGAAAACAACCCAAACCTTTTTATTGTTCTCCGTCACCGAGCCAAGAGGAGGAATTGGAAATTCCCTCCATCCATGCATGACACGAGCACGATAACTTGAAAAGTAAGTGAGGTACCAACTTCCATTTCATTGTGTGTCGGCATCAAGGAGGAAGAGAGGTTCCCATCGAATATTGCGTTATCACATCAAAATACAAGATGGCTGCCTCCATATTTATATGTAAACTGACCACCACTATCATTTGAGGAAACTGTGCTTTCTAGCATCTATATTGCTTAAAGGTGTAGTTTCCTCAAATGATCGGGGTGGCAGAAGATTAATCTATGAGGGCCAAGGCCACCATTGGCCACCCCCTGGCTCCTCCATTGCTCCTGGTGGTAGATAAAACTGCTCCACTCTCCCAGGTCCGTCACTCTGCAGAACAAGCCTCCCTCTGTTCTTCTCCACAGTGTAAATCCTACCCTCTTGAATATATTTAATCAAAAACATTTAGGTTTACTTCGTTGTCTGAGTCCAGTCCAGAAAAACACACATCTCCAAAACTACAAACGTTCAGTGTTCAGATCCTCAGAGACGGGGTCATCGGCGTTCCTGCGTCTGGTTGTATCTGACTGTCGGGTGTTTCTGCTGCAGGGAGCGGTGGTGTCACATGACCCAGCAGGAGAGGGACGACCGCTCCAAAATCGACGAGAACATCGCCTTCGGTCTGCTGGGGTACGAGAGCCACGGTGTTCACACAGTCTGCGTGCAGATAATTGGTCTTTATTGAATGTACCGGCAGATTATTGCTGCTTCAGTGCAGATTAACAAGGTTTTATTCTGAGACACGTTGATGACCACCTGCTGACCGGTGAAGTTCTACCATGTTCGAGGTAAAAACTGTGAGTTCCCGTTGGCTCAGTGTGTTTCTGTCTGCAGGACGTTCACCCACAACATGCTGGCCTTCGGCCTCAGCACGAAGCTCTGCAACGACTTCCTGAAGAAGCAGGCCGTCATCGGGAACCTAAACGAAGGTAAAACAGGAAGTGGACGCTCGAATCTTCACCGCCTGCCCCCAGCCCAAATGTGTCCTTCCTTTACAGCCGTAGACTAGAAGAACCGTCTTTCACTCCCTGGGCTTTACAGATCGGGACAAATGAAACCGACTGCATCCAACAGCAAATCAGATTTATTTCCATTTCAGATCAGCTGCTGTTGGTCAACGCAAAATAATAAGTTGCCAACAAACACGAGATCATCAAAACGTTTGATAAAGCACAAACTTTAAAAACAGCCAAAGCCAAACATGAAGTTCAGATTTAACATGAGCTTTAACTTCAGCTCGTCTCAAAGCTTCTGTCACCCTCCTGCTGCCCTTGGGTCAAAATGACCCACGGCTGAGGCCTCCTGGGTCATTTTGACCCAAGGGCAGCAGGAGGGTGACCGGCCTCGGGGAGAACTGAACCCTGACTTCCATCAAACTTATTTTAAACACTTTAAATAACCCGAGATGCCTTTTATAAAATCTATTATTATTATTATTATTATTATTATACCACAGTGTTGATGCGACACATCAACTCCCCAACATGAGCTTCAAGATAAACATTGTAAAAAAATAACGACAAAGCAACATGAATATTAATCAACATTTAGCTGAACCACAACTTGTCCATCGTTTTAGCTGTTAGTATTTTTAGTTTCATATTTTCTGCTGTAACAGATTCCAGTTACATTTATCTTGTAATAAAGTTACATTAACCAGTTTGTCCACAGCTCTGGTGGTAAACAGTTTTCCATATTTGGGGTCATAACTTCAGCTGAAATATTCCTGCCATGAACTGCTTTGTTTATGACTGAAATCTGATAAAACTGGTTTATTTTTTAAATCTTTTAAATGCTCTTCTGTGCGTTTCCACACACGGCTGCTCCTCATCGTCTTTCTTTAAAATTCAGTTTGCCATTCTAATAACAAGGGCTATGTGTTGTCAGCGAAATTGGCTCTCTGCATTTAACCCATCCACCACCAGGTGGAGCTGTGGGCAGCTGTGGAAAGCACCTGGGGAGCAATTGGGGATAGGGTGTCCTGCTCAGAGACACCACAAGATATCTGACTCATGGACTCCTTATTGCTGGGGTGTGCAACGTGCACAGCACCTGGAGTCCCTCCTCACAGTCATTTAGGTTTTATAAAACATGCAATAAATAAACAACAAGATCCCTGAGGTCATTGCTGATGTCTTTCCACCCTGGTGTCGTGTTAACACACACCTGAACCACCAGGTCAGAGGTGGTCCTCTAATGAGGCAGGTCCTGGCTGGTCTTTTGTCCAGTTCCTGTTAAATATCCACATACGCCCGTTGGATCTTCTGCATTTTCAGGCCTGTTCTTGATCCGGGCCTGCAGGGTCCAGCCTTGGAGCTGAAAGCGGTTCTTCTTGTTTTTTTTTACCACAGACCAATGAGAATGGCTTCAAAGTGTTTTTCCACATTAATGTGAACCATTCCTGTCGTCAGACGGGGTCTCTGGAGCTCTGAACCAAATGTTTGACTCTCGTGCAGAACAATACAAGCTGCTGAGCGAGCACATCGACAAGATGGCTGCAGAGTGAGCTTCAGGACGGACTTCCTGTCTCTCTCCTCCGCCCTGTTGCTGCGTTCATGCCATGTCGTGCTGAAAACACGTCGCCTGCTGAGATGAGCTCCGTCCGTCCTCGCCCTGCCCGACTCGAGCAATAAAACACCCGGATCACCCGAGCCTGAAGCAGCCCCTCATAAACGATGATTCTGACACTTCCTGTGCCGCGTCTGACAAGAATCCTGCAATCTGAGGGCGCTACAGAAACTGACTCATCATGTTTGATATTTACAGCTCCATGTCTCTTAATGCTGACTCAGACTGACACCACCCTTTATTTATGCACGTTTTTATCAAGAAGTAGTCTGCATACACACCCCCCCCCCCCCAAGTGCCTTCCACAGTTGTTTTCCTCCACTGAGCACCTTCTCCATGCTCTGCTGTAAACTGTTGTTGTTGTTTTTGTTGTTCCTTGTCTGGCCACCAGGAGGCACTGTGGCGTTTCTCTTTCACTGACTCGTCTGTAAACTCGTTTGTTGTTGTTGTTGTTGTTGTTGTTGTTGTTGTTGTTGTTGTTGTGAGTCAGTGATTGTAGAAACTTTAGTTGTCATTTAACTGTCAGACTGTAGCTGTGACACCCCCCCCCCCCCCCCCCCCCCCCCCCCCCCCCCCCCCCCGCTCATCATGCTGCTGCATGAGTCTTTACAAAGTGTATATTTCAGTTTTTATTTAAACTCTTGGTACCTGAACGCCTCATTACCATTAAAACTAGTAAGACCCTAAAGGCATCACTCGTCTGGTTCATATTTTGTGTCTTTGAGTTGAATTTACTGTCATCACAAGAATAAACGATGGTTTAACAAAACTGTAATGTCTCTTTTTTTTCCCACAGTTTATCATCATGGGTGGGGGGGAACAAAAGTATTCACCCCCCTCGCTGCTCTTCGTTGAGTTTTTAAACGTCCTGAAGTTTAAATTCAAATTAATCTCCAAAGAATCAAAATAATTTTACTGAGAAACGAACAAGAAACACGACAGAAAACCTGAAAAACTCAAAAACCCAGAATGGACTCTGTGATCCCCATGATCCTGGTCCATCAGGTCTCCTCAGATCTGTTTCAGTGACCCTGGTCCATCAGGTCTGTCTCAGTGACCCAGGTCCGTCTCTGTGACCCTGGTCCATCAGGTCCGTCAGGTCCGTCTCTGTGACCCTGGTCCATCAGGTCCGTCTCTGTGACC